GAAATTTCTATCACACACAGATATCTAGAGCGAATAACCTAACAGATTTAGTGTAAATCTACTCTGGGTCGTTCAAACCAACATCTAACTCTTCTTTACAGACACTTTGAAAGCGCAAAATAAGCGACCGCTATTTTGTGTGCAAGAGCACACTACTGCGCTGCTCACTATCTACAACAGAATAGGTAGTGAGTAGCGTATAGCCAACAAGAGAACGGCATTGCATACTAACGTAGAACATTTGGTTCCCTATTCAATTACTCGACTTTTACTTCTTGTTTTTCAAACAGTATCCATACCTATCCAAAGTCGCGAATTTGTTTTCACAAATTTAGAGAGTTCGTCGGCCTTGATGTCCCCCGTGAAATCAATCGGAGTGTCCTCGTTTTGTTTGAAGAGCTTGTAGACCGGGAAATCTTCCTTGTTGATATTATAACGCTCCCTCAAGTCGTCGTTTTCTTTTTCGCCATATTCTGCAGAATAATGAAAATACTCTTTAAAGTCAACTCCCTTTTCCCTCTCAAAAACTGAAATGTGGAATCGGTCTTTGTTCAGGTGGAGTTTGGAGAGGAGTGGGGGGGGGGGGAACTAGTTTTTGGGTTGTTTTGGTCAAAATAAGTGTAAAGATTTCCTTGAGTCTAATCTCTAAGTACCAATGAAAATACTACTCAACAGAATTCATACTCCAGCATTCTGTCTGGTTGTCCTAACAAATCACCAGTACCCATTCTGCGTGGGTACAATCATAAGAAACCCAGACCACTGTGCTGCAAAGTATGGAATTTCCAACTGGCCTGGAAAAACTTACCAAATAACTTAGTAAGAAATGCTAAGCAACGTTTTACTTGGAACATCAGAACTATTTCGCCCAAATTACTTTTCTCCTAAAATAATTATAATTATAAAAAAAGTAGTGGTGGCCTGTAACTTCTACTTGGGGAGGTAAATGATGAATTTACTTTGCACCTAAAGTTTGTTCCACTTGGAACACTGCTGTAGAGATTGTCAGTAACATTCTTACAGGTAAAAAGGTCAGAAGTTCTTTCCAAATGGGGTCCTCATTTTTCTGTCCATAACAAAAAAATATATTTGCTCCTTTAAATTCTAAAAGGAAAACAACATAAGAGGCCAACCAACTCTTTAACCAATGTACTGCCCTCAAAACAACATTCAGTTCATATCATAACACTAAAATCCAGTTGACTTAACAAAACTGGAACAACACCATCCAGCCAATTATTTAAAATTATCTTGTATTGGTAACTCACACTACATATGTGTCACAAATTAGAATATAATTCTGAGAACAGAAACTGTTAATGTATGATGAAAATGATGACCAGTAGAATGATCCTACAGGAGAAGAAACATTTATTTAAAAGAGAAAATACCATTGAAAATTAATGAAAAATGAATAGTTGAATTTGTGGTTGGTTTGAGTACCTGACACTCCAACCTCTGCCACCAGAAGATCAGGCTGTGATGAGGATTTCTCGGCAAACTTTTTGAATTCATCCTCTTTTTCTCCATATGCATACTGTTTGTCAAACTTAACAAGCACTGCTTTGTGTTTGCCAATGACCTGCCTCGAAGAAAAGTTAAATAAGAAATAAAATTTACTTTTTCATACTATGTTCATGAACTGATTTAACTGAGTGAGCTTGACTTCCTTCCAAAAATTAGGTAGTTTATTGTATTACAAAGAAACGTTAACCCTGACATTTTGAACCGGGAAAGGAACCCTTTACAGCACTCCAAGCTCAAGGTTTCACCTGTTTCTAGAGTTTAGTCGCTAATTGGTTTTTTCACTTGCCATGGCGACCAAAATGGTCGCAGCTTTGAGCGCTGCTGTGTAATAAAACCCAGCATAACAAAACCATTGCTTTAAAAGAGTGACTGTATCAAGGTGACATAATATTATGAGTGATTCTTACATCACCTTGATAAAGTCAGTCTTTGCCTTGAACATGATACTACAACATCAAAATAATAATTTTATATTTTTGCAGAGGTCTTTTAGCAAATGAATGAATGAATGAATCAATCAATCTTTAAATCAATCAGTCAAATGTTGAACACTATTTTATTACATGGGAAACTGGCCCAAGATGAAAAGAAGACTTCTGATTGGTTCCTTGAGCAGTCTGGATTTTGCAACAAGGACCACTAAGAGAGACCACTCATGAGTAATATTAGTTTCTGTGAAATGCCTTTTCAAAACTTCACACAAAAGAAAACAATTTGTTGTTAACTTGAAATCTTTTTGGCTTTGCACAATATGGCAGAAAGCAACCAGCAAAATGAAAATAAATGCTAAACTTTTGCATAAGTGTGCAGTAAATTTGTCAAGAATGGATCATTGGGGAGCATTAATTTATCAGCAGAGTTTTAAAAGAGCCATCATAATATACTTAATTGAGCTAGCTTGTTCTGTACAGAGGAATTAATATTGGTCAAGTTCTTTCTTAACAAGTGTTTTGGACTGAGCTGCCATTTGCAAAAAAAAAAAGAACATGAGCAATATCTTCCCAATATGGACCTCACACTATAGGTAGGTCAATAATCTATTGAAAAAGACAGTAAATTTTCTGACCACAGCTTATGACATAAATCTATGCTTCCCAAGGCTTGTGTATTGTGAAATCTACATCACTTTATCCCATGAAATAATTATCAGCCAAAGCAAGATATAACTATGGCAAGATTTGGTCATTTGGCCCAAATTTGTTATAAAAGGGTGTTATGAAGGGGTGTTATAATGACCCTCCATTATAAATGAACATACTTGAATGTACCCTATCCCTTGCTATAACCTGATGTTTCTAAACATTGTCAGGCTTCGGAAAAAAATGCTCTTTGCACGCACAGTTCATTCTTTATCACAGAGATGTCTACTGAGATTGGTTTACGTTAGTATGTAGCATTTTCTGTTACTTGCATGATAACAGAAATATTGCAGTGAACTGAGTTTGCAAGGATTATACTTCAGCACTGTTTGGTGTACATGGTGCATTACATTATTTTCGATCATAATAATCAGAAATAATCTCAGTAAGATTGAAACTGAAATTTTCAGTTTCAATCTTACTGAGATCTGAGATCCAAATTGCAGATAAAATTATTTTGTAACTACTAAGCCACTTAAATTTGCAAAATATGTAAATTATTCAAGTTCAAGCTTATCTAACAGCTGATAATTTTCAGATCCATGGTCTTCAAAATGAAAGCTTTGAAACAGCAAATTTGTTTTCAAAATTTCCAAATTTCCATAAAATAAAGTAAATGTAATTAAAACACAATAGGCTACGTTCTGATTGCTTTTCAGCAACGTAAAGGTTGATAGAAATAATTTCCTGCAGATGTCAAAGTTAACCAATCAGAGTTAAGCACGTTGTTATCATTTACAGTGTAACCGGCGCTCAGCACGTGGCCAAACTACAGTACACATGAACAATTGTAAAACTGTGATTCTTTTCTTCGTTTATATGGTGAAGTTTTATTTTAATATTGCAGATTTGAAGACAAAGATTTGCAAACCTGATCAGTTGGGTCATTTGTGCATGTCTGATCTCATAAGATCTAAGCTCCATTGAATAACAAGTCTTAAATCGATATCAAGGAACTGGAACAACCATTTTAAGAAATACCTTGTCGAAAGTCAGAGTATCCAGAGGCACCGCTCCCCTAGCTGTTCCTTCCACTTTGAGGATAGCGAAAATCGCTAATACGATCGCTGAAATCAACCCAGTAAAGGCCATTGTGGCGACTGCTTCCTCTGTTACTCCACTGGACACTCTCCTGCACGAAGCACGAATGTATTGAGTATTCAGGCGCATTAGTCAGCGGACAAAATGATGCAGCGGTACGTACGTGGTGTAACTACTTGATTGCCGAATGTCATGTCACGCGTCACGAATGAAATGAACAAACTACTATAAAAGTGAAAAGTCAAGCAGATCCCTAGGAAGTCGTCCTCTTTAATAGTGAGAAAGGTGGAAAAAATTCTTAACTTTTTCGGAATGTATTGCTATAAAAGCTAGCGCTGTCGAGACATTCTTATTTGTGGAATTATGGAGGCGAAGATGAGGTGCCACGCACAGATCGTTGCGTGACTACAGCATCGTGACCTGAACGACGATGAATGATACCTTTCTTCTTGACCGTTGACCTATTTTCTACGAAATGAAGTAGCCCGATAAAATGGTAATATTGGACAAAACTCTCGCTTGACTGAAACCGCCGAAACATTTGATTACTGAAGTGTTCTGGAATTACGCAATCCAGCAACATAAGAATGACTGAAGATATAAAACAATTGTCATTCGGCTGGCTGAGATTTCGTCCATCATGGCTACAGTTCCTCAACACTCCAAAATGGTTCTTGTTCTTCTTGAGTCAGTATTTCTTCACTCAGAGTATCGTTGTTAATGGAGTATATCCAGGTTCCATCAGCACTATAGAGAAGCGGTTTGGTTTCTCCAGGTTAGTCCCAGAACGCGCTCTACGTTGTTCATGAGGTAGTTGTACGCCCTTGTACGTAACAAGGCAGTAAATCTTACGCTTGTTTAGTTTTGATTAGCGCTGGAAAAAGAGGGCAAAACGATCTGTAAGCTGTATGCAATAATAATATTACAATAATAAACGGTACCTGTAAAGTCTGAAATCTCTCTCATGACTGATTATGACTCATGAAAGTCACTTACTTTTGATTCTAATCACAACAGTGCGCGCCTACGTTACAGAGCGGAGGCAAAACATTTTCCGCATTTTCCGCATAGATGATTTGTTAATGAATAATTGCTATTAAGCGAGAAACAAAATTAACACACAGGGTCGAAAATCTTTTTCAAGATAAATTCTCTAAGGATTTCTTCATGGTAAATTCTGACTTGCATGGTGTAAATTACAAAGGAAAACAGTACTGTAGGCGGTTGCTTTTTGTAATAACAGCTATGCACACTGTATTAACAATTTAAATTTATGAACTTGACGTATGAACATCAGTGTAGAACCTATTCATAATTTCTTTTAGTAAGAGTTTTTTCTATTCAACTTTACAAAAAGTATCGAATGTTGTAGGTCTTTCACTCATACTCAGCTGTGTTGCTTTTCTGCTGTTTTGTAGTAAAACAGCCCGTTTAAGAAGATTGTAAACATGGAGCTTGCGACTGCAGAAACAGGATTCTTACATGTATACCACTCTTTTTGTAACAAAATATTAATAACAACTTAAAAGCGCACACATCAAACGTAAAATTAACAACTTGTTCATTCATCGAGTACTGATGCACACAAGAGGTTTGGAGAACACGAAAGAAGGGCAAGAGGGCAGCCGAGAGCAACTCTAGCTTTTTCAGTGAGCGCTTTCCAGCTTTCACAAGAGCATGATAACTCGATGATGCACAGCTAAAAGCATGAATCCGAGTTGTTTTCCGACATTGCTAATGGAAAAATGTCTCCCGCGTAGACTACGAGTAGTCCCTCTTTCGCTTAGTCCGTCGAGCGAGACCGTGGGTGCTTTCCATTATGCCAAAGATTCTGGAAACTTCGGTCGGAATTCAAATGGAAAGGTCCACTTCGGTTTCTTCTGACCGGAATATTCAGGATCACCTCTGGAGGTGGTCAGCTTATTTCGGTTGGAATATTCCGACCGAAATTCGCCGTTCCATTTTTGACAAACCGGTTCTTTGCCCTAATTAGAGAATTCGGAAAAGGAATAAAAAGTGGCAAGAGCCATTGCTTTTGGTTGGCCCGGTTTAATCGGAAAATGTCGCCCCATTTTCTTCGGGTATTCCCACTGATCTCTAACCGGTCGGTTTGGGGTAATGGAAAGCACCCCGTAAATAAACCGCGAGGAAAAAATGGCCGCGTGAAATCCTGGGGGCGACATGCGCGCGAAAGGAGGGGAAACAAGGGCAATGTTTCCCATAGTAGTCACTATAGAAAAATACAATGCTTAGCAATTATTGCTGACCATAATGTTGAAAACTATACTTGATTACAGTTACATGATGGGAATGGTGACCAGCAGTTACGACGTAGCAGCCATGATCTTAACTCCGCTGATAAGCTACATCGGAGGCTCACGAAAGAAGCCAGTGTTCTGTTCTTGGGGTGTGTGCACAATGGGTGTTGGTTTCTTTATTTTCATCCTGCCTCACTTTGTCTCGCCACCTTACGAAGCAGGTATGTCCATTTGAAGTGGTCACCAAAAGAAAAAGAATTCTAGAAAATACTAAAGGCGTGTTTATGTCTTCTTCCTCTTCACCAATAAGGTGTCTTCACGAATGCCATTGTGAGTGACTCAGGACTTTGCGCCGCAAATCGCACTGATTTTGGCGGGAAAAGTGATTGCAAAGAAGAAACCACCGGCGGTAATACTCTTTACTACGCGCTGTTCATTCTGGGAATGGTTGTAGCAGGCGCCGGTTGCACTCCTATGATCGCTTTGGGCGTTCCATATATGGACGAAAACGTCAGCGCCAAAGTGTCGCCTATGTATGTGGGTATATTTTTGGCCTGTGGAATTGCTGGTTAGTTGTCATGGTGACTCGATTGAAGCCTTTGTTGATGTATAATGACTTTTCTGTCTTCAGCGCGTCTTCAACTGAACAAATCGTACGATTATATTAAAACGATACTTATAAAACAATTACATATATAGTCATTATTCTAAATATTATATGACTAATTCAACTGGGGTTTCTAAGAGTTTCTAAGAGTCACCAAGCTAAGGTGCTGAGACTGGAAGAAGAATTTCTTCTCTATCAGCAAATAGTTGTCCATGACACGGAACCAATCAATATATGAGAGAATCAATCGATATGCAGTCGAACACGATGTGTGTTATGTAAAAGTATACACAATAACTACATTTATGTGATCTGCGTACTGTTTTCAAACGTCCGTCGAACCCCTGGGATTTTATTCTTGCTGTGTTTGTCGCTGAAATAACTATTAATCATAGAAGAAACATTGATGTTTGTAACGGCGCGATTTGTTTCTTTTTGCGTGTATTTTCTTTTCATATCATTTCAGGTGCCGCTGTTGGATTCGTATTGCTCTCAAGCTTTCTGTCAATGTTTGTGGAACTTGGTGTCCAGACCTCGTTAACAATGCAGGATACACGGTGGGTGGGGAACTGGTGGTTAGGGTTTGCCATATTTGGTGCGATCTGCGTGTTTTGGAGCATTTGGCTGTTAGGATTCCCGAAGGAGTTTCCGCC